TAGCAAAATGGATGAGAATCAATTGAACCTAATAGCGATGGCCTCCATAGTACTAGCGGTGGCCTCCGTCCACAACATTCCATACCCAGGAAGGACCCATGAAGGACCAGGTTGCATGACCTCCTACTCCTTGTTGCTAGTAGCTTCTTGTTACTAGTAGAGTTCTTGCTCCTAGCAGTAAGGCCAGGAGCCCCTAGTAGCGTCCTTGCTCCTAGTAGCGATGCCCTTTGCTCCTAGTAGCTTCTTGTATCTTCTTGTTACTGCTCAAACGTCTGACCAGAGGTGTTGCAACAAAAACATTTCCCATCAACCACACGCTTCGACCGAAGAACTCCACGTTTGGACGCCGGGCCCGGCCTCCTTATCCTTGCATCCCACGCCAGTGGTCCACCACAAGACACCTTCCACGTTCGAGGGTTGGTCTTTATCCTTCCCGCAGCTGTAGACGTTTGCTCGCTCTCCGACATTGGGGTTGTCCAGGACGTCCACACAGTCCTCAGGCGCACAGTGCGGCACGGCACAGTCTGTACCGACTGAAAAATACCGCACAGTGAGGCAGCACAGCACGTCGGCACATGGCGAACATCGGCCGATCCGTCCAAGCGGCTTGATTGGGCTGGTCAGCTGCGCCGTAGCCGCAGGATGGATCGTTACATGTCCACTCCTTGAAAGCAAACAAAAAGAATTGCTCGCAGGTAGTCACATCAAGAATTTCAGTGTAATCGGGCCAAAGAACATCCATCGCCCAGCAGTAGGTCTGTGCCTTGTTTGAGCTTAACCATCCGCAGTAGCTTTCATCACTCTCGTAGCTCTCTGCGTACCACTGCCGGCAACGATGCTGACCTAAAGGAGTCAAGGGAAGATTGGAATGATTTAATGGGTGTCAAAGACTATAAAAGAATCATCTGACTAGGGGACCTGAGTCTGGGAATATCCTGTACTTCACTGAGAAAAGGTCACGGCTTTGGACTTCTAACACTTAGTCTTTAAGTTCTAAGTGGTTGATTGTGTCACTGATCAGTTAAAAGAATCTGATCAAAACTCTACGGTTCTCTCTGAGCACCTTTCAGTAGGAAATGACAAACTCACTAGCATTTTGGGGCACCTCAATCCGATCAAAACTTACTGTGATACTCTAATGTTGTTACAGCCGAAGGCACCACAAGGATTGTTAGCCAAAGATCCAGGACAACCAGTGAAACAAGCGTCGTTGTTGCAGTTTGGATCAGTTGGTGAATAGGATGTGCAGGTGCATGGTCCATATCGATGCCTCAGAAGGCGCATGTTATAAACATGAAAACGTTTGAAGCATGGCCTGTATGCTTGCAAATACTTTCACAGCAAAAGAAAAATATTACAAAGAGTTAAAAAAAAGTCTACGAGGCGTACGTCGTCAGACAAAATGGGAAAAGCTTCAATGTGTTCTTCTCTTCTTTTATAAGCTGCTTGTCGGCGAGAACTGTGGGGAATCCAGCACCAGGGGCCGGTGTGATGCTCAGACGATCGCCTCCATACCCCCAAGGCACACGGTACCAGTCAGGCCATGTAACGAAGAACCGGAGGCATGGTGACACCCTTTCAAAAGTTTGCCAAGATTCGGCGGTTGATATGACTGTGTCTTGGTCAATCCATCATTTGGCTTGGAAGTTCTTTGACTTCGTTAGGATTGCACTCAAATCGAGAGGAATTGAATTGACGGCAGGGCCAGTCTTGGCGGCAGCGCAGAAGCTTCGCAAGAGGAGCAAAGCCAAGTCAAAGACAAGTGAGTGCAAAAGAAGGATCTCTCTCAAAGCATTTCACTCCCTGAAATAATCGTCATTAATGGACCTATATGGAAGTGGAAGACCACCCGTTTAAAGAGGAATAGGGTCATCCAAGGGGCAGTGCGGTAGGTGCCTTGTTCTCGGTGTCCAACCCCGTCCCGGCCGCGTCCAACCCCGTCCCCCCTTGTTCTCCACTACAGATGCGTTTCACGTCGTTTTTCCGCGTCGCCTTCGAACTTGGCTGGAATCGCCACCACATCGGTTTCGTCATCGTCGGCATCCGTATAGTTCATGGTGATGCCACCTGAGACACCTTCAACCGAAGTTAAGTCCCAGGATACAACGTTCGTGATGGTGAACTCCACTTGGCTTTGGTACTGAGGTCCCGCTGACAGCCTGAGGTCCGAGAATCCATCCGAAAGCGAAGCGTTGGACATCAAAGCGATCCGTTGCTGCCAAAAGGGTCACCCCTATAGGTGCCATCACTCGTATGTTGGAAGCCATGGCTTCTAGGGTGGCAAGAGGGTCACCCCGAGACCGTGAATCTGACCCTCATCCCTCGTCGGCATCGTCTTGTTCGCGGGCCGAGGCTCGATTGCTTCTGGTTGGAGTCCGCATCTTGGAACCAGCAAGTCCCTGAAGGCCAGTTGGAACTGTCCGGGAGATACAAATCGATCCTGGCGATGTGGTGGGAATCAACGATTCATCGTCACGAAGCCCCAAAACAGAGTGTCACTGAAATCCCTCTCTGCCGGTGTCTGCGCCAACATTGCTGAGCATCGTCTCAGATTGCTTCAAACCCATGCACAAGGTTGTCTTCGGTGGCAATGGTGGAGCCTGTCACTACCACAAGGTGTTGCTGAAAAAAACGCTTTGCTCGTGATGTGGCACAACTTGGCCACACTAATTAGTTATATAAGTGTTACACGAGATCTTCCCATCTTCGAGAGGAACGCAGGTCAGGGACCCTTTGGCTCCTGATGAACACACACCGGCCTGCTGAACACCGGCTCCCCAGGTCTTTGCTGGCGCAGACTCCGGATTCGTGCAGTCGATCGAGGAGCCCGAAACAGTCTTCGTTTCAGCCTCATCCAGGTAGACGCCACCTGAGGGCTGACCGCACGTAAAGCCAACAACAGCAAGAATGCGCGAAGGTGTTCACCTGGGCAACCTGGGCAACGTTCTGTTGCTACGAGTGGCGTAACTGAACGAATAAGGCAACCCATGTTCTTTCACGGGGCAGAAAGTATCCCAACACACCTTGCAGGAAACTGTGTCAACTGTTGAAAAAGTTGATTGTTTATCAGACAAATTACTCCTGCAATCTCCTGCATTAGTTCTCCTGCCAGTTCCTTCTTCCCTCCTTCCCTCCTTCCCTCCTTTCCATCAGTCATTCTCCTTTTACTTTGGTTCTTGCATGAACGAGGATTGACAAATCCAGAATGCATTGAGGGCTTGTTGCTGAGGCTCACTTTGCCCTGCGGAAGAAGTGACTGCCCCAACTAGTCCAGCAAAGTGTCTGAGATCGCTGGAATCTCCAATACAGAAAATCACGCCGTCCGCCCATTCCCGGTTGACGAAATGCATCGTAATCATACCATCATCCTAGGGGCTCAAGTCAACATAAGACAAGAATCGATGGCAACGCTGGTCAGCCATGGCAACCACAACCAGGACAAAAACATACAAAAACGACAGCAATGAAATCATGACGACAAGAACAACAAGAACGACCACAACAGCCATGCCGACGAGAACATCGACGACCAAACAAGTGAGAAGGACAACAAAGCCCAAACACCTGCTATTTGGTTCGATTCCACTTCAGCAGCACTCGTGTTGCTGAGAAGATGTAGTTCATTTGCAACACTCCCCAACATGGAGGAAGCCACCTATCCACCTAGATGATACTATATGCAAAAGATTAAATAAGACGCGATTCCACGTGCACATTATCTGACCGCTGCTGAGTGGCTGGACTGGGAGAGGGAGTGGGAGAAGGTGGTGGTGTGGTCGTCGCTGGCGTCGGCGGCGGTGTAGGTGAAGGAGAAGGTGAAGGTGCTAGGCAATCAGACTTCTTGTCGGGTGATCCACCTGAATTTGTGCAGCTTCACATCTGGGTAACAGCTACAACAGCAAGTTCGCCAAATGCGTAAACTGGAGGAGCCCGAAGTGAAGAAGTCGAAGAAGAGTGAAGAAGGAGGAAGAAGAAGGAAGGATGTCGGAGCATGACCCAGCTTGCTTGTGCGCATCCTTTGCGTTCGAGACACAGCCATGAAACTCTGGCGAAGCAGATGGACATGGAAAGGAAGGCTGGCCAGGACAACATTGGTTCCCAGCCTGAAAGTGCAACTACTGGCTACTGCAAACTTCAGTAATTAGTCAGTAGTCAAACTTGTCGATGAAAGCCTAGTACCTAATTGACTCTTAGCAACCGCTGATGCATGTCAGTGCCTCTCTTGAGACACGGCTTTTCTCCAATCTCAGCCCCCGACACAACCCACCCCGTCTGAGCCGGGACATTGAACCTCACACATCAGAGGGCTAAGCACAGTCTGTACAAGTCAATCATCTGGATTGGTGAACTAAATGTGGATAACTTCATGAAACCCTGGTCTGCTAGAGTCTACTAGAGTCTACTGACAGTCTACTGGTCAATGAAATTCATCTGTTTCCTAGAAATTTATGGGTTGGAGGGTCCCACTGATGCTGCCACAAACCCTTTATCCCCGTGCTGACGGAATGCCCAAGCCGACTGGTCGCAGCGAAAACATGCCAAGGCACATGGTCGCCAACAGAGCACGTTTCAGGTGTCGGCGGTGGAGATGGTGTTGTCGGTGGCAGAGTTGTTGGTGAAGGTGGTGGTGTGGTCGTCGCTGGCGTCGGCGGCGGTGTAGGTGAAGGAGAAGTTGAAGGTGCTAGGCAATCAGACTTCTTGTCGGGTGATCCACCTGAATTTGTGCAGCTTCACATCTGGGTAACAGCTACAACAGCAAGGAAAAAGGAAGGGTGTCGGAGCATGACCCAGCTTGCTTGTGCGCATCCTTTGCGTTCGAGACACAGCCATGAAACTCTGGCGAAGCAGATGGACATGGAAAGGAAGGCTGGCCAGGACAACATTGGTTCCCAGCCTGAAAGTGCAACTACTGGCTACTGCAAACTTCAGTAATTAGTCAGTAGTCAAACTTGTCGATGAAAGCTTAGTACCTAATTGACTCTTAGCAACCACTGATGCATGTCAGTGCCTCCCTTGAGACACGGCTTTTCTCCAATCTCAGCCCCCGACACAACCCACCCCGTCTGAGCCGGGACATTGAACCTCACACATCAGAGGGCTAAGCACAGTCTGTACAAGTCAATCATCTGGATTGGTGAACTAAATGTGGATAACTTCATGAAACCCTGGTCTGCTAGAGTCTACTAGAGTCTACTGACAGTCTACTGGTCAATGAAATTCATCTGTTTCCTAGAAATTTATGGGTTGGAGGGTCCCACTGATGCTGCCACAAACCCTTTATCCCCGTGCTGACGGAATGCCCAAGCCGACTGGTCGCAGCGAAAACATGCCAAGGCACATGGTCGCCAACAGAGCACGTTTCAGGTGTCGGCGGTGGAGATGGTGTTGTCGGTGGCAGAGTTGTTGGTGAAGGTGGTGGTGTGGTCGTCGCTGGCGTCGGCGGCGGTGTAGGTGAAGGAGAAGTTGAAGGTGCTAGGCAATCAGACTTCTTGTCGGGTGATCCACCTGAATTTGTGCAGCTTCACATCTGGGTAACAGCTACAACAGCAAGGAAAAAGGAAGGGTGTCGGAGCATGACCCAGCTTGCTTGTGCGCATCCTTTGCGTTCGAGACACAGCCATGAAACTCTGGCGAAGCAGATGGACATGGAAAGGAAGGCTGGCCAGGACAACATTGGTTCCCAGCCTGAAAGTGCAACTACTGGCTACTGCAAACTTCAGTAATTAGTCAGTAGTCAAACTTGTCGATGAAAGCTTAGTACCTAATTGACTCTTAGCAACCACTGATGCATGTCAGTGCCTCCCTTGAGACACGGCTTTTCTCCAATCTCAGCCCCCGACACAACCCACCCCGTCTGAGCCGGGACATTGAACCTCACACATCAGAGGGCTAAGCACAGCCTGTACAAGTCAATCATCTGGGTTGTTGAACTAAATGTGGATAACTTCATGAAACCCTGGTCTGCTAGAGTCTCCTAGAAATTTGTGGGTTGCAGGGTCTGGTCGTGGCGAAAGCAGGCCAAGGCACATGGTCGCCAACAGAGCATGTTTCAGCTACCAAGTGTCGCAAGCGATCTGCTCTTTGAATAAAAGAGCTTTGATCGCAACCTGGGCGACACATAACGCAAAGGTTTGACTTAGAAAAGCCACGTCACTTGGTGTGTAAAACCTCTTTCTGTGGGGTGTTATTAATCAAGAGTCTACATTAGTTCTGGCACTGGTTCAACCCGCTTCAACCCCCACAATGATCAAGATGTGGTAGTGGACGCAAGAATCTGGTACCCCCATCCCATGCTCAACACCCACCGCCCCAATCTCCTATGTGACGTGCAAAACATCTTATGTGTTGTAGTGCGCACTCTTCCCAACGTTATCGTTTTTTCTGTGAACCGTATCGTTCCTGAGGGTTTGGACACACCTAACAACATTGTCTAAAGCCTTATCGTTACTTTTTGTGAACCTTATCGTTCCTGAAGGTTTCCCTCGCTTTACTTACTTAGTCTTCACTGTAGTGATGCTCCCTTCATCGGAGGTTTTGGCAGTTGTTCGCATGCCCGCAAGGTGCTGTCACCATCGCAGGTGCCCGCAAAGCCAGTTCGTGTCAGAATGACCAAGAAATACCTGAAACAAAGCTGTGCAAGCTTCTAGCTACTAGTAGCTTCTTCTTACTAATAGTAATGGCCTCCAACCTAATAGCGATGGCCTCCAACCTAATAGCTTCTAGCTACTGACCAAGAAATACCTGAAACGGTTGTGAAGGCTGTGGAGAAACTGTTGAAATATGAAAGTCTGGTGTTGTGTTTTTCAGTGTAAACAGGATCTGCCATCAAGTCCTGGTCATCTGAACGGTAGTAAATATAGTTAAAACTGATGGAGCTGATCAATGAATGGCGAGGTGCCAGCACCCAGTGGCCATGCCGTCTGGTCCTGGCAGCACACGCTGAGCGGAGCAAGCTGTGCAGCAGACTTCTAGAAATGGCTGGATCTTCTGGGCCACCGACAGCGGTGGCGACGTGTGACAGGGCCAAGCAAACTCTACTGTCGCTGAAGCCACCGGCGACCGGGGACCCAAGTGTCAGGAGGTCTAGACCTGCTCAAGACCAGACCAGTAGCGTCCTTGCTCCTAGTAGTAAGGCCAGGAGCCCCTAGTAGCTTCTTGTTACTAGTAGCGATGCCAGGAG